AATTTCAAGTTTACTATAATGGAATGGTGTGATGAATAACACTTAATAATATTGAAAGTAATAATAATAACCCATGATTCATTTAGTATTTCTGTGTGTTTTATTCAAGTTTTTATTTTGTCGTTTGTCTCTGGCAAATGAAACTGGATGCAATCTGTTAAGGACACTAGCCAGAAGGCTCATTTTTATTTAATTGATTACTGATTAGTTTAATAATTTTCAGAATGATACTAGATATGAACATAGTTTCCATGTTTGTTTAATTTCTATTGGTTTTGTAATTGGACCTTTCAGTGTCACCACATGCATATAAAAGCGAGTTTAGTGTCCCTGTAATCAGTTCTTTAGGAGTTTTTGAGTAGTATTAGTGAACTTTAGTTTATTTGTCTCTCAAATGTGAGTACCTTTATCTAACTTTAGTTTTCCAGCATTGGGCAAAAGTATATAAACAGATATTTGGTCACCACAAGCACTGCACACAATCAATAGACTGACTGGAGGGAGCACAAAGATGTTTTGTTTATTTGCAACATCTTGGTTTGTGTGTATGGTTTTTTTTTTGGGTGTCTAAAAGGCACATAAAAGTGGGGTTCTGAAACAGAATATAATCTGAAAGAGGTGCTTATAAAAACCTGCAGACCTTGCTGTCTAAAGCAATGCAGAGGTATGCTCTTCAGCATATTTTTGCGACCATTTTCTTTAAGAGGAGAAACATAACAAAACAGACACATAACACAGACAGACACATAACTAAACCATCAAAGTATTCCAATAATCTGATGACAACACTTCCTTTAGATGTGAAGCATTGTATCATTCTTCTCAACCTATGTATGACTCTGTCATCAAGCACAGCAAAGTGTGAATGAGGATTTTCATTGATGAACCACATTAAAAGCTCTGCACAAACCTGTAATGAAACAACTGTAATGAAAATCTGCTCAAAAAGTTGCTCAAGTTTCCTGGAGATAGCCAAAATATGGCCTATGCAGATCAATTACAATAAACCCTCTGAAGTGACAAGTCTGAACCAACAAGAGAGTTATGCAGTTATTAAGAAGGAAGCCAAAGGAGTGGAGTGGTCATCTATTCAAGATAGAAGAACCTCTCTTCATTAGCCATGTTCCAGCAGGTTGCACATGGAAATATTAATATTAAGAAAGATATACATCATACTCCTTTATCTCAAACTTTGAGGAGTGGTAACACCAAGACATTTTTAACATCACATTTAATTTGCAACCAGCCCGAGACAACCTCTTTCCTATTGTCAGTTAAGCAGTGAAACAAGCCTCCAGGTAGTATTGTTGACATAGAAAATGATTCTAGATTATAGAGTCCACTGCGTGAATACCTTAGCAAAATAAGAGAGTGGTTTTGATTTATTCATATATTTATATATACATATTCCTAATTTAAATTGTTTATTTCATTGTATAATTTTTATTCATTTCATGAATAGACTATTAATAAAAAGTATAATATATAAAAGTATAAATTGTTGTATGTATATACATATATATTTTATCTTTACTGATGTGATGCTTATATCACTTTATCAGCCAAAAGAGTAAAAATAGAGGCATCCATAACATTAAATATGATTGATGCTTTGTGTTGAATATCGTTAATGAAAAAATTCCTCGTGGTAAATCATTTTGGCTTGTCACATCCACATCCTAATTTCACAGACCTTTCAGTGAATCTTCAAAGTTGTTTAACTCAAAAGATGGCACTCATAAATATTTTAAAGGGGATTTGTTGCAATTTGGTGCTGTAGAGGAAGTCAAAACACAGTAGA